TTTATTGTAGGTTGCAACATTTATTAAAATAAAGTGAGCCTCATTTTGTGTTCTCAGCCTTGAAGGAAAAAAAAAAAAGACATGCAAATAAACATGAATTGATAAATTTTGAACAAAATTTATAAATGTATGTGCCTAGATCTGCTGAGAGAAATCAGATAAGCTGCCCCAGAAAGCTTTTTTGGAAGCTTTTATCCAAGTCCCATATTGCAAGTATAAATTATGAAAATAACTGATTAAGTTCTCAGATGCAACAGGCACTGGTTTCTGAGATAGAAGACAATTCAGGCTGCCTTTATGTTCACTCACAAAACCTCTGATCCTTATCTTTCTCATCCACTTCCCTCATCTTCCATAGCTCATCTCAGCCTTTTGATATTTTAATAGATTTTTCCCAGAGCAGGCTAGAAATGCTTGACTCATTTTCAATAGTCCACAAGATTTTCCATTTTTGCTTAGTTAGTTGTGTCTGATTTGTCGGGAACTGCAAAACTGCTTCATGGTTTATAAATGTTTCTACTTTCTCACACATTTCAAACTTAGACAAGAAGACGTCATCAGTCAAGCTTTCTGTTAGGTTCTCTTAACCTCCATGTAACCTCTCTCTGTGTTAAGACCAAGAGAGGTGGCTGGTTTGGCTAAGTTAAATTTAGATTTTTTTCCCCCCCTCTCTCTTCTGATTGCATCTTAGCCCCAATCTTCTGAGCCCCACAGCACAATTTGTGCTCCCTGGAAAGGATTGTCTTTGTTGAAATCCAGTGACTTTTCTCGGTAACGAAGCATTGATCTCTAGATTTGACCTGAAATAATGTGGCAAATCATTTGTCCATCAAATCCATTTCAATGTTAAAAAATCTGTATAAATCTTTTTGGAGTGCTGCTGACAGTTAGGCTTTTTTTTTTCAAAGTTTCCATGCTATCGTATATAGCATGTTCAATATTATCCTCATGGTCTATTACCTAGGAGTCATTACCTAGGAGGAGCTACATAAAAAAATTAAACAGATTTATCCCCTTCCCTCTTAAATGGTGTTCACAATCTAAGACAGACAGATGTGAATAGACACAAACTATAATTATTAAATTAAAATGTGAACAGATAGGTCAAGGCTAAACATTTTATCATTAGGATACCCCTTCAACATTTTTTTTCCTCTGGTACAACTGTAATGAATACCTGAATAGATAAATGAAGAAGGGAGAATGAATGTGGTACTGATCAAGAAGAATGGAACACAACAAGGCAGTGTGCTATGGAGGAATCAAAGAAAGGATGGTACTAAATGGTGTTGAATATAAATCAATTGTGTTTGTGGACAGAGAGCAAGCCTTCAGAGATAAAGGAAGAATTTGGTGAAATCACCCAGCAGCCCATGATAAAGAGGCAGGGTCAGGAACAGCTAAGGCGTGTGTCTGTTGGTGATGATGATACTATAACCCTTAGAAAGCCATTCTATGTGACCCAGTGTCAGAATGGGTTCACATTTAAAGAAACTCGTCTAGAACGAGGTATTCACCTTTATTCATGCCTCTGAAGAGATTTGAAGAGTAGCCCATCATAAATGATCTACACAAGTCCTATTAAAGTTCCATGCTCTCTCTTCTTCTCTGTCATTCTTCAAGTCACAGGAAACTTTGACTCTTTTCACCCACAAGATTTCTCTCTTTGATCCAAGGTTGTGAACAACCCATCTGCCTCTCATCTCCCCATCACTCAGCCCTCCTCCTAACTGAACACATCCCTCTGCTGCACGGTCTTCCTGGGCCCAATGTTTGTTTTCTATTCTGACTCATTGTTTCAGGAAAATTCACCTCTCAGTTTTCGTCCTTTTTTGTGTTTGGTTTTTTTTGTTTTTCCTCAGAAAGCACAAGGTAGGGGAGGAGTTCAGAGGTTAAAAAGGTAATGCCAACATTCTCTGTCAGGAAATGTGAGGGTAGAGGAACATGTTATAAACTATTACACACACACACACACTTTAATAGTTTTGCCCCATCATTAATATTAAGTAAATCAAAGCTAAACTAGATATAGCATGTGGCAAACAAACAAACAAACAAATAAATAAATAAATAAAAATTGTATGTTAGGCCACAAATCTCAGATATGCAGAAATGAAATTTTATGTTTCTATGGCTAAACTCAGAGCTCATAAACCCTACATAAAATGATAGACATTTAAATTTGCTATTTCAAAGTAGCTTGGTTTAAAAATCCAGCACTTTTTAAAAACAAACTACAATCTGAATCACTTAAGAATTCTTCCCCACTCCACCTTTTCCCCTTCTACCCAGTAGCATCTAGGTTCAGGGGCATCTTCTGAGCTGTCAAAGTGGAGGGGCATGTAGAGAGACGAGCAGCTATAGGTACATCTATAGCAATTTTGTCAGCTCCTTGTGAGATGTAACTCATTCCTGGAACTGTTGACATCAGCACCTACTGAAGCATGTAAACACTTCCATGTTCTCCAGCTTCCAGGGCCAGATAATCCAGAGGCTTCTGACCCAAACAACAGCATCCTTTAAAATTAACGCCCCTTGGCAGGGTTTCCCCGGAGACCAAGGCAAATCCTCCTTACCTGTCGGGAATTTGGGGCTGACTCAGACCCTGTCTCTAGCCTGCCCCTCCACCGTAGCTACCCAGCCCCCATCTCAACAGGCAGGGCTTATGGCTTCTGCTAGAGACTCGCCCTTTCTTTGGGATGCATATTAGGATTCAAGATAAGAATCACCTCTGTTTAGGCAACAACAGCCCACCCCCACCCCAAACTTTCTTGGTGATTTCCCCTCCCTGCGTCCCCCTAAGGAGTTTTAGATTCCAAAGGGACAGGATGTTTTAGTCTCACAGTTAGCTCTCACCAAGTTCAGAAAAACTGCTTCGAGGCCATCAGACATGCTTACGCCTGTTGCCTGTCGACAGGTTGTGGAAAGACTGACTCAGTGCTCTCAGCCCTTCAGTGTTTGGTCTCGATATTTAAAGCTAAGATGGTAGAATTCAAAAAAGAATAATAAATAAAAAGAAAAAAATATTCTCTCTCTCTCAAGCATCTGTTTTTTGCAGTTGAAAGACATGACATTTAGGCTTTAGAACTCAGGCAAGAATTTGACTATTCTAGATATGTTCTTTTGTGTTTTCCTTTCCCTAGACAATGAAGTACAAGACAAATTAAGTTGACATAAGACAGACTAACAGGAAACAAAACAAAATTCATAGTACAGAAGAGCCAAAGACAGGGGTCTGGGGCTTCAAAGGGGAGGAAGACAATTTCAGGATGATGAGAAAAGCAAATGTTTGGTAAACAGATGTTTGCCCTGCCATGCAGGGAAGTCTTTCTGATATGAAAAGTTATCTCTGATAATAGCTGTCTTTCCAGGACAGTCCCCTTTCTAAATTCTTTCAGACAGTTAAGGGAGAGACAAAAGCTTTTCCTGAGTCTTCGAGGTTTTAATTGCTTTCAGCTCAAAACAATCCACATGCAAAGGATAACTATTGCATTGTTTTGTACACCTGAAAATAATAATNGTGTGTGTGTGTGTGTGTGTGTGTGTGTGTGTGTGTGTGTGTGTGTAAAGAAGCATATTAAGACTTTTAGAGAAGGAGGGAGGGAAGGAGAGCGCCTGAGAGAGAAAAAGAGGAAGAAAGAAAAGAAGAAAGAATGGAAAGAGAGAGGGAGAGGAAATAAGAGAGAAGGGAGGGAGGACTGCTTTATAGCTGCTAAGATTGCAGACAGAAATAGCACACAACCACCGTGAGCTTTATGCGACTCAGAAACCAAGACTAAATTGTATTCACTTTTCTTAATCAGTTGCTCAGAAAGAGGGAAATGACATCTGGTCCTGTCCTCTTCTACCTCTTGATTTTTGGAAAATATTGTAAGTATGCTCAGTATTTAATTTTGTATACCTTAACATTTTATGAAATTATCACAAGTACAAATGTTTATGACTTACGTTTATGCTTTCAAGATAAAAAAATGCTTTTTCTGGCAAAACTGTAATCTCATTTCAGAGTTATTCTTCTTAATACATTTCTGGTATTTATATTAAAAACTGGAATATGTTATCAGTGTGGGTAATGAAGCAACACTAGCATGCCAATATAAACCAATGCTTCCTAACAACCAGTTTGTCAAACTGATATTAACAATTATTTTATAAGTAATTTTATAATGTTTTATACGTAATTTGATAATATTTCAAGAGGAATAGTCCCTAAAGAGATTGGGTTCTAAGAATATGCCCGTTAAAATATCCTGGGAAGTCTTTACATTTGTTCTAGCTTTTATGTAGTTGTAACAGTCCGTTGTCCTAGTCCTTTGTGATTTGATATCATAGGTGTGCCTCCTCAGAGAGAGACACATTTAAAAACTTTTTTAATTAGCAAGGTTTCTCACTGTTCCTTAAAAGAAAAATATGGAAAAGTACAAAGCAATGAAAAAACAGACAAATGAGAAGCCCGAATGGACATTTTACTTTTGCTATCATGACAACTTTTCTTTTCTCTATGTGTGCCATAGGTTATTTTTCATAATTTTTTTTAATCAAGAGAAATAGTCATTCTGCATTAAACCCTATTTAAATTATATTATGTAAATAGAAATAAAATGTTTTTGCTTCTTGGGTAATAAATGATGAGAAAGTCAAAGCACATCAAGAAAGAAAACTTTCTGAGTACCTTTAATATTTTGGGATCCTGGCAATGAATAAGATTTAACAAATTTAGAATTCACAAGCATGTGTATATTCCTCTATCTCTTATTTTATTTAATTTTTTATTAAATTTATTGGGGTGACATTGGTTAATACATTATATAGGTTTCAAGTGTACAATTCTGTAATACATCATCTATATATTGCATTGTGTGTTCACCACCCAGAGTCAAATCTTTTAAAAGTTTGCAAAAGTTTGTTTAACGAAGGTATTCTATTGAGGCATGGCTCAGAATAAATTTAAATCCTAAGTCTCCCAATTCTGATGGCATGTGCCACACCAGAGTGATTTTTTTTTTCTTTCTCTCCTTCTCTCCTCCTGACTTCTAGTACACCTCATTTTAATGGTCAAAGAAGGGAGACAGTATCAAAATGAAAAAAATGATCAGAATCCTAGAGAAACATTCTAGTTCCTAGCTTTCTCCATCTCTAATATTGATTACTGACATTCACATTTTTTAACTAAGAGGGAGATCAAATTGCAAACCCCCCACCCCAAAACTGAATGTTTTTAATTATAATCCAAGTGTTTAAACTGTCAGAGTTTTGAGATTTGCCACCTACCACCTCATAAATCAGTAACATATTCGACCATCTCTTATTCCATTTCAATGAAATGAATATATTAGTTAGCCAATAAATACTTCCAAATAGGCATTTTAATATGAGGAGTTCAAGGGTATGTGTGTAAAGGTGTTCAGGGCAGGTTAGGAAGCAACTTTGTCTAATGTGCTACCTACCAGTCATTTCAGGTTAGAAAACAGGTTCCCTGCTTACATGTTCTTTTTTGTTAATAAAAAATTATTTTCATGAGCAGAAAATAATAGATAATAATGATGATGATGATGATGATGATGACGTCAAAACCCTCCAACTTTTTAAATTTAAGTTCTTCTGATTTAAAATTCTTTTGATCATGCAACTGTGAGTCCCGGAGAACTCCTAAGTTTTCATCCTTCTATGCCTTCCATAGAGGATGACATAAACATCTCAGACCAAGTTTGACAAGCAAGATTCCTGGCTATGTTGATGTCCACTGAGTGGGTGGAGTGGAGGGGCATTTGACAGCTACCCCCGAAATAGCCATCCATACCCATGACTCCCCTTTTAGTTTATCTCATCACTCAGCCTCGCCTAAGAGAGGATTTCCTATGCGTACAGCAAAAGAAGTCAACAGTGACATAAGAGGAAAGTCTTAAATCTCTGCAACTATCCCCTGGCTGTTTGTTGTGTGTTTGTTTGTTTGTTTTTGAATCCACTTTCCTGTTGCCTGGGAACAGTTGTCATGGAGACTGCTGACCTAAGGTGCTTAGCAGCACCCTCATGTACTAGCTCTGTGATTTTTGACAATGACTTACCCTCTCTGAGTCTGAGTTTATAACATGGCAGTAAAATGACTTTTACCCTCTCTACCTCCCAGATCCCTGTGTTTGTTTTTTATTACATAAATTAGCTCCCTGGATCTTCAAAACAACTCTATTATGTAAATGCAATTAAGCCCACAAGGAAGGCAGGGCCCAAGGACATTGAGTACCTTGTCAGAAGAACCAAGGTAGTAAATGCCAAGATGTGAATGCTTTCAGTCTATGCTCTTTCTCATAGACCATGAACTTCTCAGTGGAGACAATGCGTATAAAAGGGCCTTGGAAATGTTAAGCCCTTTATAGACTTAAGCAATTCTTAGTCACCATTTTAACCCGAAATACTTATTGAATGCCAGTTGCTTTCACAAGCAATAGGACTAAAGGATGACCATGGCCTGATCCCTGGNTAAATATCCTACAGTACAAAGGACAGTACCTCACAGTAAAAACTCCTCTGGCCCAAAATACCAATAGTGCCTGCAGCAGTGGGTTCTTTCCACCAGTATACCTCTATAAAACTAATATTCCAGATTCACCATCTTTGCCAAACATTAGAAAGAAGTGGTATCCTGAAAAAACAAATGTCTAAAATTGCTCGTTTTGATAAATATCTATTTTAGCAAAATCTAACCTAATCTTAGTGAAATGCAAACTTATTTTGAAGTTTTGTACTGATCATTTGAGATTAAAAGTACATTGAATGTATACATTGCTAAAGAGAGTACTTCCTGGCTACGAGTCCACTAATTGAATATGTCTGGGATACCAGCTCCGGCAAAATGTTCAAAACTAACAAAGTAACATCAGAATCAAGGTGCAAACTCTATGTCAACTTTTTACTTTATGCCGGACATTTCCCAAAGCAAGTTCCTCAGCGCTACTGTTGAGGACCTTCTTAGGGACTCCCCTTCAGATACTACCCTAGATGTGCCCCACACCATCCTTCCAGGAAATACTATTTCTAAACAAAATAAAAAATCAGTAATCATAAAATATTTCAAGTATTATTATAAATAATAAACATATAATGCACACTTATTAAACATTAAATGAGCATTCAAATTCAGGTCATCATAATTATGACTAGCAAAAGAACGGTATCTTTCTTAAATAAAACGACTGATAAATGAATAAGCACTTGTAAAGCATCCTATCCATCATTTCTCTTTTCATGGTATTCATTACTTCTACAGGAAAAAAAGAAAAGCAGTGTTAATATAACCTTTAAGCCATAATTTAGAAAAGCTTCTTATATCAATGATGTAAGAACATGTAATTTAAATAGATTCTACCTGTAGAGTGGTGAGGAGGCATTAGCCTCACAAGCACATTTCTCATGTCAAGGTGCTACCCTTTTGTCTAGCAATAATTATAAAGTTGTATAATAAGAATGACATAACCTGGTTAAAAGAAAATGTATTCCATGGAAATGTGTTTTGCATTTGCATGCTCTTTTTCCCACTGATAAAAAATAATCAAAATCATCATCATGTGAATGTCTGCCATTTAGTAATCAACTATTATGCACAAGGCCCTATGCCAGACATTCAGTATGAACGGCGCTGAATGTCTGGATAGATATTTCCCTCCAGAAAGCCAAAGCTCAGCTACGAATCAGCAACACAACAGTAAAGTAACAGACTGTGATTCAAACCCAGGAAGTCTTTACTCCACAACCA